ATAGTTATGGGTATTAAACTAAATCTCTTATCTGTTATTATATTTTCATCAGCAGAAAAGGCATGTTCAGATGCAATAAAAGATGCAGGGATTGTGAGATAATCTCTGGCTATATGAGCAAGATGAGGAAACTGTATTTGGTGTGTCTAAATATTATTAATATCAATATATTACTTAATAAGGCATAAAAAAACTTTTCTAAATAATCTTCTCTAAATGCATTGCCTCATAAATATACTAATAATAGTAAACTCTGGCTTGAATATATGCTTAACCTTTCTAAATATAATTTTTAGTCTGGAAGAGCTCATTTAAGAAGCTGTAAAATATTTCTATCCTTACTTTCTATTATGTTAACACATCTGTTTCTTTGTTTGCCAATTTTTCAGAAATGTAGCCTTCAATTTCATCAAATTCTTTATTATTTTTATCAAAGTCTTTATCTAATATTGATTGTGTAGTTGACTTTATAGTACTGTTAGTACTTAAAATATTAGGAGTAACAACTGGATATATACCATTTTATAAAGATTATATATTCTAAACAAGAATTTATATAAGTATAAAAAACAAAATTCTTAAAAAAAAAAAGAAAATTGGTATTTTTACACCCTCAAAGTATGTATATAAATAAATTAAGTAAAAAATAGTAATTAAAAATTCACAATCAGGTGATTGTGACCCAATCAATGATCAATCACTTAATATTAATAATACAGTAATATCTAGCTTTCAGACCATGAATTTGTTTCTGCTACCACTTTTTTACCTAATAAATTGATAGAATTTTTTGATTAATAATAATAGCCAGTCAGGCAAATAGTATTTTGAGTTTCTTATATTCCTTGATCTTAAAATTTGATTAGTACCTTCCCTGTGACCAGCAATTTATGATAAATTAGTGCTTCTACGAACCGAACCGAACCTAAACTTAGGCTAAGTTTGGTTTGATTTAGAATTTGAACCAAACCCGAACTCAAACCAAATTAAAAATATAGGTTGAGTTCTGTTCGATTTTAAACTTTTAGAGCATATTCGTGTTTGGTTCATATTTGGTTCGAAAGTTTACAAACATGTTCAGATTCGATTAAAAAATGATTGCTGTTTGATATAACACAAATTAAGATACATTTTTTATTGTTTTAACAAATTACTAGAAAGATCACAATGTAAATGCAGACTTATGGCATCATCTAGTTATGTTCTATATAAAAAATCGGTTTATAAAATAGAATACAATTAAGCCATAACTAATGATGTAAATAAGTCTGCATCTATAGATCACAATGAGACTCCTGGTGATAAAATGGGAATGGACGAGAAAAACCAGTCTTTAAAAGATAATACCAAAGTCTGGTTTTTCTAGTTTATCCCAAATTTCACTACTAGCAATACCAACACCAATAGTGAAAGTCTATTACCAGCAAATGACAAAATTCTACAAGTAAAAGAAGTAATTCTATCACCAGCAACGATGATACCAATAGTGAAATCCTAATGGCTACACGAATGATGCATACTATCTAGAAAGGCTACATGAACGACAAAAATCACCTAGA